AGTGCCCCCCAGTGTCCCTCCCAGTGCCCCCTCAGGCTCCCCCAGTCCGCCCGGTGTCCTCCCAGTCCTCCCAGTGCCCCCAGTTCCCCGCAAGGCCACCCCACCCCACGGTGACACTCCAGACCCTTTATTACCGCCCCTTCGTTAGGCCCTAACGAGGCGGCCACCACGATGGACCACGGCACGGAGATGCCACCACCCCGTCCCACCCGGTGTGTCCCCAAAGTCTCCCTCACGCGCCAGGTTCAGCCGCGGTGGACACCACGCCACGGGGTGCCACGCTCCCTCGTTAGCTCTTAACGAGGATCCCGCCACGACGGACCACTCCCTGGAGGTGTCGGCGCCCTGTCCTCTCCCGCTGAGTCCCCAAAATGTCCCCAAAGTGGCTTGGAGGTCCCCAGTTTGGGCTCAGACCTTGTGTGGTGGTCGTGGAGAGGCGGTGAGACGGCAGGCTCCTTCGTTAGGCCCTAACGAGGTGACCACCACGATGGACCACGGCACGGAGATGCCACCACCCCGTCCCGTCCTGCCAAGTACCCGGAGTGTCCCCATCCATCTCTAAGCAGCACCAGAAGCCACGCGCTGGGTTCAACCGTAGCGTGGTGGACACCGTGCCGTGCCACCGGGCTCCTTCGTTAGGTCCTGACGGGGACGCCGTGATGGTGGACCCCACCGCGGTGGGTCCCATCCCGGTCAGCGCCCCCCCTCCATCTCCAAGCGTCCTACAGGCCACACACCGGGTTCAACCACAGCGCGGTGGACACCGTACCGTGCCACCAGGCTCCTTCGTTAGGCCCTAACGGGTGTACCACGACGGTGGACCCCACCATGGTGAGTCCCATCCTGATGGGCGTCCCCTGTCCATTCCCAAGTGTCCTACAGGCCACACACCAGGTTCAACCACAGCGTGGTGGACATCATGCTGCGCTACCGAGCTCCTTCGTTAGGTCCTAACGAGGACGCCATGATGATGGACCCAACCATGGAGCTGCTGGTGCCCATCCCATCCTGGTGAGCGTCCCCCATCCATCTCCAAGCGTCCTACGGGCCACATGCCGGGTCCCCGTCGGGGTGGACCTTCAGGTGGCGGGTGAACTGGGGCTTGTAGCGGAAGCGCTTGCCGCAGCGCCCGCAGCCGTAGGGCTTCTCGCCGGTGTGGATGCGCTGGTGCTTGACCAGGTTGGAGCTGACGCAGAAGCTCTTGCCGCAGGCGCCGCAGCGGAAAGGTCTCTCACCCGTGTGGGTCCTCTGGTGCTCAATGAGGGTGGAGCTCTGCCCGAAGGCCTTCCCGCACTCCCCGCAGCGGTAGGGCCGCTCGCCCGTGTGGGTGCGTTGGTGGGACGCCAAGTGGGTCTTCTTCTTGAAGCGCTTCCCGCACTGCCCGCAGGAGAAGGGCTTCTCCCCGGTGTGGGTCCTCTCGTGCTTGACCAGGTTGGAGCTGAGGCTGAAGGTCTTCC